AGAGAGAGAGAGAGAGAGAGAGAGAGAGAGAGAGACAGAGAGAGAGAGATAGAGATAGAGAGAGGCTAGAATAGAATGGGACGCCTCGTGGATGGGGAGCAGAGGAAAGAGGCGAACGCCTCCGCGAGCGACCGAGCCACACGCCGGTGGGGCAGACGCAGAGCGAGAAGACATGCACACATACATGAAGAGAGCGGAATGGTAAAGAAGCGCCCGAACGATGCCGGAGATCCCGGAGGACGGACATGCCGCTCTGTGAGCGGGGAGAGACCGAAATGGAGCGCTCTGAGAACCCGAGAGAAATTTCTCCTGAACACTCGCGGAACCTTCAATGTGATTGTAGTGATGCGATATTTCGCCGCCTCTCTCCGGCTCAGATATGCGTTTGCAGAAGACCGTGTGTGTGCGTGGGCATGCCTACACTCTGGTATCAGTACTATGGTCCCGGTCGGGGAAATGGCGCCAGGGTGCGTCCGTGCAACACCTGTGTGTGTTTCATTGGGCATCGCACCGGTCAGAGAGATTGCACCGGGGTGCCTCGAAAAATCAAAACGAAATGATTTTGCTGCATTCCCGCACCGGGGTCTCTCCGACTATTCGACACATTGATGTACTCATCAGTACATGACGTACCACGCAGCGCGTCTCACGGCCAGGTTAGGGCTGGGGTATTGCATGCAGGTTGGAGCTACGCATATTGTTCGGAATCGATCCACAAGCACTGCCGTACGAGTCGGGCAGCTTCCCTCCACTTCCACATGCTGATGAATGAGCGGATACAGAACTCTACACGAGGTGACAGTTTGAGGCTCGAGCGGTTCGCAACACGACCGGGCGCGCGAGAGCGGGAGACCGAGGTCGAGAGCGCAACTAACATGCACCCAACATACGCTCACCATACTAATACCACTTCCCGTTTGTGAGGCGCAGTAGTAGTGGACACGGGAATAACCCAAATACATGCAGCGCGATGCAGCGCTAATCGGTTGCTTGGTTGTGGACAGGCAACGAACATCTCTTCGTTCAAATCTCCAGGCCTGACAAAAGCCACAAAAGGCTTCAGGTGGCATCAACACATACAAACCGGAACTGTCCGCTCCGCTTGTGCAACCAGCAGTTGCCCCCTCCGCACAAACCCGCTGCCGACATACCGTAGTAGTCGGAGAGATGGCACCGGGTGCGATCGTTTTTCAATGTTTGTTCCTCGGGTTTTTTATCGCACCCGAGTCCAAATGTGATTGCGGCTTCGAATGCGAAGACCGTGTTATGTAGTCGCGGAGTTTCAGTGGTACAAGAAGGAGAGGGAAGTGTACATGACTGAGCTGGGAAAAAGAGATGGGACGTACAGGGAGATGTTTGAGGCATGGAATAGAAAGGAAAGGACGATAGCTGTACTGCGGAGTAGGAAGTGCTTTGACAAGGCGGGAAGGGATATCGGCAGGAANCAAATGTGATTGCGGCTTCGAATGCGAAGACCGTGTTATGTAGTCGCGGAGTTTCAGTGGTACAAGAAGGAGAGGGAAGTGTACATGACTGAGCTGGGAAAAAGAGATGGGACGTACAGGGAGATGTTTGAGGCATGGAATAGAAAGGAAAGGACGATAGCTGTACTGCGGAGTAGGAAGTGCTTTGACAAGGCGGGAAGGGATATCGGCAGGAAAGACAGACTAGGGAAGACATTTTGAGCCACCTTTGGCAAAGTAGAAAGGAACGACTGGCCATCGGTGATCGGTCCTGTGGGAACAATGCTCCGTCCTCTCGAGGACGCGTGGTCAATGGTCTAACTGCTAAGGCATGCAAAAAATAAGAGTACGCCCCCCCCCCGCCCGGGTAGACAACCCACGGAATGGGTCAAGGTTGTAGAGGACGTATGGAAGGGGCTCGACATCGACGAAGATGAAACGCTGGAAACGGAGGGTCTACAGGGGTTCAAGGAGAAGATATCTGTTGCTTGTGCCGAGAGAGAAGAACATAATATGAGGAAAGAATCCAAGGATAAGGAGGGTCTAGAAGTGTACGGAATGTTGAAGGAAGGAATAGGGTTCAAGGACTACCTACATGGACCAATGGATGCAGGAACAAAGCTTAAGGTCAAATTCAGGACCGGGGACATAGGCCTTCGAGAACGTCGACGAAGACATAGGACGGT